TGCATGTGCTTATTATAGTAATTATCTAACTTCACACATCAACTATCTTTATATAGATCAGATTTGTGGAGTTAACTTTTTTGTCTATGGTGACTTTAATCATCAAAATGTGAAGAAGAACCCTGTCATTATTGTTTCTAATCATGGAACTTTATTCGATTTGCACTGCCTCATAAGAGGAATGTTTGACATTGAGCGACCATCTCAAACTTTCCCTATAACAACGGAAAGATTTCGACGCTCTCACATCTACCTAGGCTGGCTGAAACAGATGCATCATTTCATATTTGTCAAGAAAGATTGGATAAAAGATCGCGTGCACATAGACAAGTCCATACGGTATCTACTTGAAACTTGTTCCTCGGTAGATGTTGTCATTTATCCTGAAGGTAAAATACCAAGTGAGGCTTTTAAAAAGGAAGACAAAGAGTATGCAGAGAGTAAAGGTTTGGCTACATTCAAGCATTTATTACACCCCAAGCTAAAGGGATTCATTGCTTGTGTACAAACCTGCAGATCTGGAGGGGCCCCATTTGAAATATGCGAGGTTACTGTAGCTTATAAAGGAAGGACTGGTAATTGTGCATACAAAGGCCCATTTGGAGGCATACAACTTCCTACCGGTGAATTACCACAAGAAGTTCATTTTCATATCAAGTATCATCCATCATCAAGCCTGCCTTCATCAGATGAAGAGCTAGGTGAATGGCTATACCAGAGATGGCGTGCAAAGGATGAGCTACTGGTGCAGTTTCATAAAACAAAATCATTTCCTGGTCCTGTACAAAAAGAAAGCTTGATGAAAAAGCTTGAAATGTGGCTTGCAATAGGAATTTGGGCCGTTTTGATTGGAGCTGTGGTCTACTTTTGGATAAAAGTCCCACTGCTGATGGCTGTTATAATGGGAACGACAGCTCTCATTCATTATATTGTTGATAAGCGGTTTGATGGGTGGGAGAGGGTAGCGCTAAGGAGGTGGGAGCGTTCAAAAAAAATGAAGTAACTAGGCTCTGATTATTATAACTAGACCTAGCTTTATTTATTATTGTTATTTATTAAACAATATTAAATCCTTTCATAATTAATTTTTCTAATAATAGATCTAATTAATTTTCATTAAATTCATTATTGAAGTTACTCCTATTCTGCTGCACTAGTGCTCAAAATGAACAAGTCCTTGCTCTTTTGGCTCTCTTTGTGCCCTTGTCTCATCATATGCAGTTTGGTGCTAGAGGTACCAGCTATAATTCTCTTTCCATTCTCTCCAAGGCTCAGTAGAAAGTATACTGGACTCATTGTCTCACGTTCGTGGTTTGGATTGATGGCAGTAAGTGCATGATTCACATTTTGACTATTCTTAATCTATCCTATATTTTTTACATAATTTCCAACTTTTGCTGTACTCAATGCTGCAGTGTGTATTAGGTAAGAAACATGATGATGCATGCATGCTTATAAAATACAAGCACAAGCAGGCTTGTGTTCTGAGCTATCTTTTACATAGCACAAAACTAAGGCATACATAATAGATTTAGATGCAAGCACTTAATAAAAGAATAAAGGCCATTATCCATGGCCTATGCATGCTGTACCATAAACATTGGCAGAGTACATCTAGTGTCAAGATTTATAGAAATCTAAATTCATATTATTTTATTACTCTATACACAGATCAAGTTTGTAGAGTCAAGTTTGTAATATATGGCGACTTCAACCGTGTGCCTTCTAAGCATACGCCCTCAGTTATAATATCCAATCATGGGTCCTTGTTTGATCTCCATAGCTTTATCAGGGGCTTCATTCACATTGGTAGTACTTATTTATCCATTCCACTTACAACGGAAAGATTTCGACATACTCATGTTTATGTTGGCTGGCTGAAACAAATGCACCATTTTATTTTCATTAAACGAGACTGGAATAAGGATCTAGTCCACATTAATAAAATGATACATTATCTGCTTGCAACAGGTCCTCCAATTCACGTGATTATTTATCCCGAGGGTAACGTGCTGACAAAAGCTAGTAAAAAGGCTGATATGGAATATGCACAAAGCAAAGGTCTGATACCACATAAGTATCTGCTTCATCCAAGAGTAAAAGGGTTTGCTGCATGTGTACAAGCTTGTAGGTCTGGACACAATGGAAAAGCTGATGTCTATGAAATGACAATTGGCTATAAAGGAAACCCTGGACAATGTGCATATGCTGGTCCTTTTGGAGGAGTGCAACTTCCAACAGGTGACCTGCCAAAAGAAATTCATATTCACATGAAGTATCATCCATCATCAAGTCTGCCTTCATCAGATGAAGAGTTAGGTGAATGGTTAAAGAAGAGATGGCGTGAAAAAGATGAACTACTGAAGCAGTTTTATGAAACCAGTTCTTTCCCTGGCCCAGTTTTGAGAGAGACATTTAAATTTAGACAATGGATGAAACTATTAATAGGAATTTGGATAATGTCAGGTGCAGCTTTTGTCTATTGCTGGATACAAGTCCCACTGCTGATGGCTGTCATAATGGGAACAACAGCTCTCATTCATTATATTGTTGATAAGTGGTTTGATGGGTGGGATAGGCTGGCATTGAAGAGATGGGAAGATTCAAAGGAGCATGCAAAATAATAATAATAACAATATTTTATTTATTGCAGAATTAATAATTATTTTAGCTAGAGATTAATGATGCATCTATATTAATGAGCCACGCCTTTATTTGCATGCTGCATACAACAATGGCGATCACCTTGGCAAATGCAAATGGCTTCTCTGTTTCCACATTCTCTACTGGAGCTAGTGTAACTGACATTAAACTACCCAACGGGTGAGTAGAGTACCATCAGATACTCCGAATGTCATTATTGTCTCTTTAGAACGCATGTAGTATTGGGCTATAAGGATTTAGAGGGTAAGGTATGGGGGAGGGGAGAGAAGAAAATAACATTTTTTCTTTAAGATTATTCTGTAAATAGTCTTTATATTGGCTGTACTGTGGGCCGCTGTACTAACAGGACAGCTAATGCTGCATTTACTATTGGAGGGGTCGAATACCCAATTTCTGCCAACGTAGCCCCCAATCATCTCCATGGAGGGTTTGTGGGCTTTAACAAAGTAAGTTTTAACTATTTGCATTTTGTATTTACGATTTTTCCAGTTGACATGGAGGGTGACAGCTCAAAGTGAAACATCTGTCACATATTCTCTCTTAAGCCCTGATAGTGATCAAGGCTATCCTGGAAACCTCTCTGTTACTGCTACCTATACTGTCACTCCTAATAATGAGCTGATCATAGAGTATCGTGCAAGCACTGATAAACCCACTCCTGTCAATTTGACTAACCATACTTACTTTAATCTTGCAGGACAGGTATGTGTGTGTGTGTTGCTAAGGGAGGGTTGCTTATTTTTCATAGGGTGATATATTAGGACACACCCTCACATTGAATGCTGATAATTATACTCCTACTGATGATAACTTAGTACCAACTGGTTAGTACTTGATCATAATTATGAATGTTATTTCATGAGCAGATATGGGTTTATAGTGCTAATGTTAGTATAAAATAATGTAATAGCAGCATTGGGGCATGCATTTAAAAGGCATAATCAGCCAAAAAAGTTTTTGCACTAATCAAATAAATAAGTTCAAGCCACAACCTTTAATAGCAAGTTTGAGCTGATTCCAATTAAAATTGGATTTTTTACGAATTAAAAAAAATTTATAGTTGCTCCAAAATTTGGCCAAAGACTTTATGTACTATCTTGGTACTACATCATACAGCGTATTTTTTATCACATTTTCTGATGCATATACATACATGTTGACTTGTGTCTTAAATTAGGTGATCTTGCTTCTGTGAGGGGAACTCCGTTAGATTTCCTTTCTTCTCATACAATTGGAGAGAGATATCAACAAGCCTCAGACGTTGGCTACGATAACAACTTTTGCATCAATGCTACGCCAACCTTAGAGTCAGATCCCAACCTCAAATATACTGCAAAGTAAAAGCACAGCAATCTATGATGATACACTATAATGTAATCCTTTACAGGTTAGAAGAACCAACTACTGGCAATTGTCTTGAAGTGTATACCAATCAGCCTTGTGTCCAGTTGTACCAGGGAGGATATCTTGATGGCTCTGTGAATGGATTGGATGGCAGTCCGATACTTAAGTATACCGGATTGTGCCTTGAGACTCAGAAGCACCCAAATGCTATTAACCAGGTCCCAATTAATGATATTATATATATTTTATGCATTGATGCTTGCACGTGTTTTAAAATAATTTTACATTGTGACTATATGGCATGTGAAGCTTTATTCTAGCTATATATTATTTTTTCCCTGCAGCCAAGGTTTCCATCCACGCTTCTCTGTCCAGGCCAAGAATATTACAGTAAAACAGTTTGGAGGTTTACTTGTACCAGATGAGATCTGTGCTGCATCTTTTTTTTGCTCTTGACAAACCAAAAATTTGTATTTTTTTGCTGTTATTATTTGATGCTTAATTAAGAACATAAAAATGTGTTCAATGGCTAGTTTTTTTTGAATTGTCTAATTTTCTAAATAAAGTGTCCAAATGCACGTCTGTCCGATCCCGGCCATGGAGACTACCCTGAAACCTTCACACGCTAACTTGTTGAGTATAACACGAGGTGGGTGGGGGCTGGAGTAGACTTGACTGGTGAAAAAAATTAATTATAATTTTTTTTTAATTTTCACATACAATGGATTTCCAGCATCCCTCACTAGCTGTGCATCCAGTTTAGCCATTAGTACTGGGTCGCTTAACTCATCTCCGCAAATCGTGGGACCATTTTCTAGTCTTATCTGTGTAGTAATAAGAACGTATTGGGGCATATCTTGATCTCGAAATCGAGTTTGAAAAAGCAGCAAGACAGAGCATGAAAGGCCACACCTATAGCCACACCTCTATTGAATCGCCTACTCACTTTGATTTAAAAAGTGTTGCAAATTTATGCATTGCCTTTTAAATTATTTTTAAAAAATATTTATTGTTTTCAAGGAGTGAAAAAAGGAGTGTTAAAAACATAAAAGATGAACTAAAAATAAACAATGAATCATTGCAGAATATTTTCAAGCAACTGGCCGACAAGAAATGAACTGGAATTAGGAAGCTGAGTGGAAGGAGTTTGATTGTATCCATTGGCAGTAGTGGGAGGAGGAAGAGGAGCAGAGCCCAGCTGTGGGTTGATTGTGAGGTCATTATAAGGTCTCCAAACAGATTGAGGAGACGATGGAATCAACGACTGAGTTCTACACGGTTCAGTATGATAATAAACAGGTTCTCCAGGAGTTTCAAAACGACAATGGACTTGGTTTGGTGGGTGTGTCCAATCACTGTCAATAACTGGCTGGTATTGGTGACGTGAGGGGAAAGCATACGGAAGCCAAGATGAAGTAGGCGGGGCACTAATCCCATTAATAAGAGGAGATCCAATACAATCGGTTACTGGTACTATACCCATCGATATATTATCTCTTGTTGTCATGGAACTACTGGCTGCCAGACTAGTCATATCGTGTGACAAACAATTTGCTCGATCATAATTTGTACTAGTAGATTCGAGAAGATTCTCGACAGTAAAGGATCCCAGTCTTGTTTCATTGCTTGAACTTGTTTCTCCATACATGTGCTTGGAGGAAGGAATAACTTGAGTGCCATCTTCCTCAGGACTTGATGCTAGATGGGTATCAGCTATAGTTGAGACATAGTCTTCTTTTTGTTGATTGATAGATATAAGTAAAGAGAGGTGGTCCACTAGTGCTATGGCTAGTTTTGACTGCAGATATGACTCTGATTGATGAAGATTATCTATGAAAGAGAGAAGTGATAATTTTGAGGTGATACCTCTGGTAGTTGATCAGATAATTCCTACCAGTTGACTTTCCTTCAATGACATCTCTCAATTCTTTATTGCTTTTCTCTAGTTCTTCAATTTTATTAACTGCCCTCTGTAACACATCAGCTCTTGTCTATAGATGCAAAAAGACAAGCATCAAAATTGCATTAATTGTCATACTTTTAGATACTTATGCTAACTAAAAATTCATAACAAGAGTTACAAAATTGAATCAAAGTTCCTGTACTATAGTGCATAGTGTTTGGCCAAATTTTGCAAAAAATGACTAGGAGATAATTCTCCATTTTTAAATAATACTTTCTGATGCATATACATGTTCTTATGTTGTGTAGCAAGTTTGAACTGGTCCTGATCAAAATTGCTACAGCATTACTTCTTGTTTTGGTTTAGATACATGTACTTGTTGGTACATACATAGATTATTATCTATGGTACATGTACATGTATGTCACCTCTTTCCCACAGTCACAAGGACAGACAAGACTAGAAAGAGTAGCAATAGACCGAGCTATTTTATGTTTACGTCGACACTCAACTAAAAGAGAGAGAGAGAATTTTTAATATTATTTTACATTATATTTGTTACTATTAACAATACAAGAGTCTTTTACTAACCAATATTATGAGCAATTTTCTTAGTTTCAAGCATTTCATCATTTTCTTCAACCTCTGTTCTTTTTGGTCTTATATAACAAATAAAATGAGAGAGAATAGTAAAAAGGACTTACCTTTTTCCTGCCATATTTTATTTATAAACAACCACGCCCATGTAAAAAAACCCACGCCCATGTAAAAACCACGCCCGCATCAGTTTTGGTTACGCCTAAACTTTAACTTAAAGAAAACCTAACAATGGGAGCTAATCAAGGTAGAGAAGGAACTGATGCTGCTTCTAGAGGTCTCCCTGGCCGTCCCGGGGCTATCTCTCCCGGTAACAAGTACACCGTTCAACCGCCTGCATCAGCACAGGCTCTTCAGGCTCTACTGAATCCCGTCAAGACGACAGAGCATCATTCTTTGGACAGAACACTAAAGGGATTCCTGAGGCACTGTAACTTAGGAGGACTGGAATATAGACTAAGACTAGCTGGTGAGTCTCAGTGTCTGCGCTGTAATGAGTAGGCTACATACATTGTCTGTAATAGATGCAGGCATTGTTCATTCTTTACCTAATTGACCAAGAAGGGGAGAGTGATGTTGTAATCCTGTGGTTGGGTTTGTAGTATTAATGGCTTCACACAGTAACACCTGACCCTATTATAATATCCTATACATGTACATCCATCCACCTGCAGTAGTTTATGTTGCAATAATCTCATTATGGGATTGAATTAACTGGTGATCATTCCTGGAGCTTGAGAAGCTATCACTATAGAATAAATTACTATAGTGTCATTATGTATTGTTTTGATATCATGAATATTATAAAACTAATTGTATTTTCAAAAAAATGGCCCCAAAATTACTCCTAATTTGTATTACATTTTGTGAAGTTTGAGCTAAATTTTTGAGTTATGTAGCCCAGAAATTTAGCTCAAACTTTACGAAATATAGCCAGTTTTAAAATGGGAAAATACCCTGTACTATAGCCCATGATTTTTTCCAAAAAATGGCTCCAAAATCACTCCCAATTTTTATTACATATTCTGATACATATTGATGTCCTTATGCTGCGTAGAAAGTTTGAGCCAATTCCGACTTCAATTTTTCAAGTTATAGCCACTTAAAGAAATGGGTCAAAATCTGAAAATTTCCCTGTACTATAGCCCATGGTTTTTTCCAAAAAATGGCTCCGAAATTACCCCCAGTTTTTATTATATTTTTTGATGCATATTGATGTCCTTATGCTGCGTAGAAAGTTTGAGCCGATTCCAACAAAAATTTTTAAAGTTATGACCATTTAAAGAATGCAACCAAATTTCATGTTTTTAAACCTTACCCTGTGTCATAGGTATCTACTCACTAGAGGATTTGGTTCATGTTGATGAGGCAAAGCTCTGCCGTCATGGTTTCACTCAGCTCATGGCCAAGAGACTCTACGACTCGCTTGACGAGTATCTTGCAGAACCGGAAGAGATCACACCTCCTGTTCCACTAAGGAGACGCCCATCGGAATTGGTGCGGAGGGTACAGATGCCATTTACTCGTGCCTCGACTCTTATGAGGAGCCGCAAGAACTTTGGTAAGATGAACACAAAGAGGGGCAGCGCGAGAGGGAGAACCCCTCCACCCCCGAGGAAGCAAAGACCAGTTAGCCTGAGGATGCCTGACGAAAAGAAAGTCTCACAAGAAGGCTCTTTCTTAATCTCTCCTACTCACTACCCCGAGTTATTACTCTCTCAGGAGAACATGACACCTGTCAATCCGTCATCACCCACTGGCCCACTGTCAGCTGCAACACCAGCTAATGATGGAGGTACAGCTGGAGAATATGATATTATACCAACACTCATCGAGTCATTGCCTCCTATTGATCCAAACTCCGAATTTGACGTCATCCCTTCTGTCATTGATGGACGCAACAGCACTTCCACTAATAGTAATGCCACACCTACTCAAGTCACACCCATAGGGCCAGCCCAGTCTATTTTATTAGAAGTCCCCCAGGCAATAGAGAGGTGTATATCAGTGCCTGATGGTATACATAGATTAGAGGATGGACTGGAAGAACAGGACAGAGAGGAAGAGGGAGGAAGGGCAGTCGACACTCTTTCATCTCTGAGAGGCTCCATATCTCTCTCGTCCTCCTCTCCTTCCTTATTTGGACTGGGGGAAGAGAGAGAGGGAGCCAGTCCTTACCTTTCTCAAGAGGTCGACCCGGTCCAAGAGGCACTTGATACTCTTCACGACTCTTTGGGGCGATTGGAAGACGTTGTGTCCTCGATGTATGTCCTTCTTGACTTCTTAAAGCAAGGTTACTGGGTACTGACGCACCCGACAGATCTTGAGGCTTTGGTTAAGAACATTAATCAATTCATTGATGATTTGGAGCTCGTTGAGCTGGGATCTCGGGTTATGAAGTACATTATGTTCCAGAGTTTGAAGAAAGGAGGATCCTTTTTCCGATCGGAGGCAGAGTTATCTCTTGCTGTCTGTCAGTGTATTGTTAATGTGCTTAAGCTTTACCCTCACAGTCAGAGGGTCCAGCTGAATGGGACTCAAGCTCTTGCTAACCTGGTTAGACTTGGTGAGTAAAAGAAAAGAAATTACGATATAAAAGATTACAATTATTGTTAATATTTTTTTCTTTTTAAAAGACGTGTCACTTGGTGATGCTTTGTTGAATGCGAAACTGTTTCCTCATTTTACTACAACTCTTCAGTTGTATGGAGACCACGAGTCAATGTGCCTAGCGTTGCTTAATACGCTTGCATCAATATCAGCTTCAATCACCAGTGAGTTATGATAGAAATAATTGTAGTTCATGTACACTACAATAATTTGATATTTTTCTCAAGGTGCTGGAGATGAGCTATCTGTTGGTTTTGAGAATGTACTGAAGGAAGCAGTGAATGTAATGATGCTTCAATCGCATAACATAGAGATACAAACCTATGGTCTCTCCTTCATTACTTTGTCACTCATAGATGGTAAGGAGAAAGGAAAATGTCTTGCAAGGTATTAAGTGGCATTGCCTTTTTTCTTTCCAGTTGCTGCCCGGATTAATGGAGGCTTGATGAAAGATGTAGTTACAGCAATCATTAATTCAGCTAATATTCATTCAGATAACCCTGATGTCGCTGTAGGAGTCTGCAAGGCTTTATCTGAAGTAGTGTCTCATGGTACGACATACAGTACTGACTAACATGATAATTATGATATTTGTTATGTGCAGAGGTGCTTCAGGAAGAAGCTTTAAGAGAATCAGTTACTGGTTGCTTGCTCTCTGTATTGGCTGATCACACAAAATCATCCAAAGTCCAAATGTGGGCATCTTATGCACTCTATCAACAAGTCTCTTATAACAGTGAGAGCCAATCATTAGATTGATTTATATCCAAATACTATATATAATTCTTTTCTTTAGTATCATTACTTCCACTGGTTCAGGATACTGGAGTGATAGAAAAGTGTCAAAAGACATTGCCTCATCTTTCGAAAGAGGCCCAGTCCTATTTGCAAAATCTCACTGAGATGGCATCATTATGAACTACAATGTCTATATTTTGCTTATTATTATTATTATTATTATTATTATTATTATTATTATTATTATTATTATTATTATTATTATTATTATTATTATTGTTATCATTATTGCTATTATTTTATGTATTTTAGCTAAGCTGTCACTTCATAAATAATCATAAGTCTTTGTTGGTTTATATGTGTGTGTGTATATATATTCATAAATTCTATAGTTGTATTCATTGCTTCACTGATTAGTTATTGGATGAAATTAGCCTACATCAAACGCTAGTGGTGTTATTCATAAAATAAAGCAGCAAAGGAAATGGCTGAGAAAAAGGGAGTACAACAATCACAGCACTTCCCTCCAGTTATGTATCTTGCTGGAAATGAAGAAGATTCTTTGATATCTTTTGAGGCTTCCACCTCGTCCATCACTTCTTCTCAAGTGTCTTTGAATCCCTCCACTGTGACTGCATTAGGTCAACAGCCAAGGACAGAGGAAGAGGATCAAGTTGACCTTTCCTTGTCTTCAGAATGGGAAGATGAAGGAAAAATCGGCACTACTTCATCGCTGCAGAATATGATGGCAACTGATGACATATTGAGGTGCAAACTGAATGTATACATACAAATATCAAGTTGCATGCTTTTTAACATATCATTTCTTTCTAGGAAAAATACAGAGACATTGATAGCTAATGCTGTTAGAACAAGAGGCCTGTCTAGCATCATGCTTGGACCTGCAGAAGATAGTACCAGCAGCAGTAGCAGTGATGAAGAAACAGAAAGTGATGAAGATGATGAAAAACTTGAAATGTTTCCAGACGTATCTGACACAAACACAACTGCAACCACAAGCAGTTTTATGACTATCACAGCCAGCAATGATATCATTGACGATACAACTGAAGATCTGATGAGAAACTATGGAATGAAGCAACTTTATACTCCAAAAGGACAGGCTTCTGAACAAGTGGCAAGGACTGCCATTATTCCATCCATATCAATATCATTGACAGAAGCACTGAATGAAATGGAAATGCTAACAATAGGAGAAAGTGTCCCCACTATTGAGGATGCCAATAATGCCTCAGTCACAGGAAATAATGATGAAATATCAGTTGGAAAACACGATGAGCCCTTGAATGAAACACAATCATTAATAGACACTAACAATACTGTAACAACACATGAAGCATCTTATACTGACAATACTACACTCAATAAGAAACCAATCACAAATGAACTTTTATCTCTTGGTAATGTACCAACTGAAGAAAAAGTCACAATATTACTAAAGAAGGTATGATACACACAATACATGTACTGATAGGTGTCGACAAAACTATACTAGGTGAATCAGTTACAAAGAGAACATTCGATAATGTTACAAGAAATGAAGAGACAAGAAATCAAATTAGACCAAGCACTTCAACTAAACAGGGATCTACAAAAAACAGGCAAGACGACTTGTTTGTCAATTACTATCTTCAATGATATTAAATTGTAATTTGCAGTAGAGAAAGAAAGAAAACAAGAATGAGTTATAATGAAAGATATTAAGCATCAAGTATCAAGCGGATTGACAGTAGAAGAAAACGCAACACCCAAATCCTCCACCAAATATCACACAACATTGACTAATATTAAGTGATAAATCATACCAAACAAATATAATACAGAAAAAATCACTTTATTTTTATGTACTACTATATATAGGCAACATTGGTGAAAAAAATGGGGCATATCAGCCACACTATACACAACCAACTGCAAAAATAGTATTTTAAGTCTACTCTTAGAAACATGCAAATTATGAGAAGAAATAAGGGAACAAATCAATCCCTTGTTTATTTATGAAAGACTGTTAGTGCTTCCACTGCCAGGTAGGTGCTGTTGCTCCAGTGAGGTGTTGTTTGAAAAGGCAAGCTTAAATGTGTATGCTTGTGTACCTGTCGATAGAAGAAAAAACAAACGTTATAATGTAAAAAAATATTTAAAAATAATTATTACAAAAATGATATATAATGTGTGGACTAACTCTGCGAGTAGACTTGTTGATGATTAGCTAATATGAATGCTTCCAGTGCAGTTTCTGTGTCACTCCACTCCATTAAACCAGTCGCACTCTTGGCTACTAATGAAGCACACACACACACACACACACACACACACACACACACTAAGTAATGATAATGCATGGATAAAATATACTTACAAGATCCTTGAGAAAAGAATCTTATTTCTTTGGGTGGTGGTGCATTGACATTAATGAAAACCTAGAGGAGAGAGAAACGTGAATGAAAAATAAAATAAATACATGTATGAGGAAACTCACAGCTTTTAACTTGTCCTCTGTGCTGTCTGGTGGACTGTTGTAGAAGTGCATGATAGCTCCAGGGCCTACAATCCTATTCTTGCTAGTACCTTCTGCAGTTAAAAACCTACAGGTAAACGGTAAATATAGGGGAAACAAGGAGAGGTAAAAGGGCAAACCTGTTGTTCCTCGACTGAGAAAAATCCTTCCAGCAGGGAGACCCATCTGGTAAAGTATCGCTTTGACTATAATCAGCTATATAACTGTGCCTGGAAAAACTATTGATATGCCATCTATAACACACTGTGTAGCCAAAAATGTGCTACTGTTAACAGAAAAAATATAAAAATGGAGAACTTTCTTCTATTCATTTTTGGCAAAATTTGGCCAAACATCCTAAAGGTACTTCCTCCCAATTTTTGAGTGGCTTTCAAAATTCATAAAAAATCCAAATTAAATCGGAATCAGCTCAAACTTGCTACACAACATAAAAACATGTATATGTATCAAAAAAATATTATAAAAATGGAGAATTCTCTCTTAGCCAATTTTGGCAAAATTTGGCCAAACACCTTGTACTATAGTACAGGGACTCAATTTGATTTACTTGAGTTCAAGTGTCTGTTTCATTATTTTCTGTCCATGGAGATACTGGATGGCATTCCTAGCTCCTTGAGGTGAGTCCATGTGAACCATTGCAGTGCCAGGCTTGTTCACTAATAACTTAACCTACACACACAAATATACGGTGATGTACTATATAAACTTATTTTCTTATCATTTCCAATCATTTTTCTACGCAACACATAAGCAACTGTCCCACTCCCAATACAAACCTTCAAAACATTTCCATAAGAACAGAGAAGGTTGAAGACATGGTCGCAGTTGAAGTTCCTATCTAATCCATAAAGCATTATAACAGAACCTGAGCCAGCAACAGCCTGCGTCCCTACAAAGGGTGCAGAGTTGGTAGGCTGGGGAGCTAAACAAAGAGGAGGAGACTATGATGTAAAGCAAAGATACAGTACACTGTGTACCATAAGGAGAGGTGGAGAAAGGTCTCATTTGCTGTTGCTGCTGCTGCATTGGAGGGACTCTCGGGAAATTAGATTGTAGCCTTTGACCTATTGGAACAAAAGAGAGCTCAATCAGTAAACCACACCCACCCACCACGATACCTTGGCAACAGAATTATAAGTCAATAACAAAGGCACACAAAAGTTATTAGATGCAAGCACAATAGCTAGCTACTACAAAAGTTGGCAAGGGATGCTACAGGATATGCAACACTAGTAGTACACAACTGACAATACATACACTGAGCTAATGAAACAATTCTTGTCATGCATTTACTAACTAAACTAAATGAGACACAGTGCCTTGCATAAAGAAGTGGGCGTGTCACATTTATAATTTAATTAATTGGGTGGGTGGTGGGTGCACGTGTGTGTACCATCACCATATAATAATCTCGACTGCTCCGACTATAACACACCACGGCAGAGCTCAGAATGTCCGGACCACGCCCCTACAGCATTGAGTGGTGGTGGGTGGGGATGCAAAGACGTAGTATGGTATATGTATTGTGAAGGGAAATAAAAGAAAAGTGAGGCTTGGCTAGGGGTTAAAAATACTGCTGTGGTAGTGGATGGGTGGGTGGTGCTATCTTCAGAATTGAAGAATTGAGGGAGGGAAGAAAGAGTGACCATTACCTTGAACAGTGTAATCACAAGTCATGTCATCGTTTTTAAATACATTCAACTTGTTGGTCTGGATTTTAAAAGAGAGAGAGAGACAGAGAGAGAGAGAGAGAGAGAGAGAGAGAGAGAGAGAGAGAGAGAGTTCATAAAGGATAAGTAAACAAAAATAATCCTTAAATTATCAATCATTAATTGCATTAATTTTTACATACAAACACACATTCATTACATACCCTAGCAAACTCAATCTTTAGCGTACAGCAACCTGCGTATATATCCGCACCATCCAGCTGCTGCTTGGCCCGCTGAGCAGAATGATTGGAATCAAACCTAAAACCGAAAGTGTTAAGGAAAACACACTGGATTGCACCTGATAAAAACAAAGTGAGACGTTTACAAAACTTAATATAATACTAAGGAAAGAGTAGGAAAGAGGAAAAAGTGAAAATGTTGGGGATCGTAATAGCTCAATAATGTAGGAGGATACTCTACTAGGACTTGGAGACCATTCTTCCTGAAGATGACAATGCGCTGGACAAATCCATAAGGAGTACAAATCGTTCTAATGACATCCTGAGGGAATAGTAGGAGAGAGAAAGTAAAATATATTTTTAAATCTCTCTCTCTCTCTCTTTCTAACAGCAGGAGTATCTTACTACAGTGATAGGATAGAGAGGATTAAAGATGGTGAATAAGAGTATGTGATTCTCCGGGGGCTCATTAGGATCAGGTGCAGTATTATTGGGAACCACCCCATAAGGCGACCTAATGAATAATGACAATAATAATACAATGCCTACAATACCAGCTGCAAGCATGAAAGCGAATAGTGCTATCAATTCACTGGATGTAGGACTAAGTTGTTAGATTGTCTGTTAACAGACAAAATGGTTACATTCAGTCATGTTAACACAGAGAACAAGAGTATTAAATGATATCTATTGGATCAAGTTATTGATAAGCTATCAATAACAAAGGCTCAGTCTTCTTATAATTCTTAAGCCTAATATGGCTGTATCATTATTAGAATTATTGTATGTAATAGCATGCAGGCACCATTATAATGCAATAATAGCACTTAAGACTGTTTACCTAGTGATCTCTGAGCTGGTGGAATAATTAAAGTAAACTTGCCGATCCATGATAAAGATTTGGTGTTGCTGTTGATGTAAAAGGAGAGAGAGGGGGAAGCCATTATCATAATCACGCCTTCTTTGCATGTACATTCACAAGGCAACACATAGTATGTCAATAAGGAATAAATAACATTAATTAAAGGGAACAATACGACTTGTTTAGAATTCTTCTCATATTACTGCTAGGAAAACACACCTGACAATGGGTAACACAAGCAATGGCATCTTCAATCTTTTCAAATTCAACCAGCGATTGACGAAGCTTAGGCATCATTGTGACATACCTAGAATAAAGAAAGAAAAGGGAGAGAAAGAGCAGTCAGTGTAACTGTGGTAATATTATTATGATAGAAGAAACAAAATGGAGGAGAGGAGAGTATGTTTATAGAACACCTACAAAAGCTCAGGATTTTTTTAATTACCCGATTTTCCCAAATTGAGAGAGAACATTGACAAGGAGCGTATGAGTGCAGCCATCGGGAACAGCTCTAGCGTGCACCACACGGGAAGGAGGGGCGTTGTGAGGGTCAAGGTGACCCTTTCCAGGCTGCTGTAGGACCTTGTCCTCCAGTTTGAGTCTTTTCTGCTCGGTGCCGTAAGATCCAAAAGAGAGAGAATCCGGTGGTAATGGGTGCTTCTCTGCCATTGCCCCACTAGAGGCACATGCTCGATTTTCGTGTGTCACAGGATACTTACCGGATACTCAAAGTCACCGTACATCACCGGATATCTCATGTCAGTCTCCGCCTACTTTGGCTTTAGACCCGCCCATAAGAGATCCTTGTTCTTTTTGCTTGTGAGCTTTGCAGACTGTGTATTGTACAAGCTTATACAACACGTCATTCCTGTCTCGTGATTTACAGGAGATCAATATGGCAGCTCTATTACCACCCGAGACTCAAGGGATAGACAAGGCGATATTTGCTGAGCTCTATCGCTGGTGCAAGGAGGGCAACACAGGGAGACTGAGGGACTTTCTTTATCACGAACCCAATGCTCAAGCCTACTTTAATACCAAAATGACCAAAGGGAACACCCTGATTCACGAAGCCGTCGAAAACGGACAGCCTGACGTTCTACAATTACTCTTACAGAACGGGATATCCTCAGAAACAAAGGGAAAGAACAATCAGACCCCACTTCACATTGCAGCCGCCAAAGGGCACGTTGATTGTCTTCGAGCCTTGCTTGAGGGAGGGGCTGATATAAACTCAACCGATGACTTTGGGAACACTGTGTTCAGCAGGGCTGAGAGAAGCAAGCGACGTGAGCCTATACAACGACTACTCAAAAGCAAAGGTTTGTTTGTTGGGGAGACAGTGAGACATTCAATGAGCTATTGCTGCATTTTATTTACAAGCTGTTGCAGCGTACATCACTGCTGCTGTTTAGTCCAAATTAATGAGAGAGAGAGTGATAAGACTAAGGGAGATTTTGTCTGTGTACATGTATGTTTTATAATGTGTACCATTATGATGCCTCTCTCTGTTTTCACAGCATCAATTACTTTAATCAACATAATATAAATAACTTAAAGCGCATTCATTATCACTCTCATCATGTTATTATTATTCTATGATGAGCATAGAGATTGCCAGCATAGCTAGTACATGCTAATACTCCTACTCCTCTTGTTTGTACAGAGCTTGTTCTGGTTGCCTGTAAAAGTGACAATCACATTCTTGAGAAGAAGTTGACATATTTTGCAAGTACAGGGACCAAGCCAGACATGAGAGACATCGAGGAGGCACTGCTCCAGGCAGTTCTCTCAGGAGCTGATGATAACATTGCTCCATTGATACTAGCTGGAGCTAGAAGGTAATCCTTTTTTCTTCCTCTCTCTCTCTCTCTCTCTCTCTCTCTCCATGTATTCATATTCTTATTATCTCTCTGTGTCTCTCTGTATTCCCTTGTTTATGTTTTCTCTTTACTAATTATTTTCACTTTCATATCTTTCTCTCTTTCTCTCCTCTTAGGCTAGACTGTGCCCTGTATCTCGCCATACAGCAAGAGCGCTTCAAGGCCATTGCCATGCTCATGGTCTGCAAGGCGACAATAACCGGGGACTGTCAAGCCATTCGCTCCCTCATATCAGAGCCACCCCCGGTCTCCTCCTCGACTAACTGGTACATGTCTGAAGTCCACAAGCTCCTCTCTCAAGGGACTGTCAAGATGTACTGTCCCATTGCTGTATCTATAATGGTAAAGAACTATGACGCTACGAAGGAGCTTCTTCTTTGCACTGATCTTGACATGAGGCGAAAGACAGTAGACTGGAGTAGACTGAAGTTGACCCTACTCCATCATTCTTGGGTTTACTCAATCGCTCCGTGGGTCGTTAACCTCAAACTAGGCAATAATAATCTTCGTAAACTCCCACTTGAATTTGTCCATGCAACTCAGCTTAGGAGATTAGATCTTTCGTGTAATCTTTTGGAAAAGATAGAGATCGGTTTGTTTTCTCTTCCTAATCTCGAGGGACTGAATCTTAGCCAGAACAAGTTGCGTGACTTACCAGAAGACACTGTCTGGTCTCAGACTCTAACTAACCTTGACCTGTCCTCTAATTTCCTGACTTCCCTACCATCCTCCATTCAACACTCCTCCCTTGAAGTCCTCCAACTCTCTGGCAACAAATTCACGTCCGTACCAAAGACCCTCTGTAGAGTAAGAACGCTCACCACTCTAGATCTGAGCTCCATGCCAATCTCTTCTCTACCCAAAGAGATTGAGATGCTTGACAAGCTGGCTAATCTTAACGTCACTGATTGTAACATATCAGATCTCCCTGCTGGCGCCCTCCCTGGCAGGGGGTGGGTGCGTGGGTTTGTCAAGTCCCGCTCTCGTTCCAGTAAACCCTGTAACATTGTGAAGCTCATCATACTCTCAAACTCTAGTGTTGGTAAGGTAGTCCTCTTCTCTCGCTTGCGACAGGTCATATGTCCCCATGGCTCACACCTACCGGAAATGGACTTCTTCCAATGGCACTATCGCCCATTCAAGTTCTTTGGTATCCAGAAGCTTATATTCAATACGTGGATGGTTGGAGTCCAGAAGGATTATCGTATGCTTTATCCATGCCTCTATACAGCCAATGCATTGTATACTCTTGTCTGGGATCTGACTAAGACTGGCGACATAAATAATATAAAGCTCTATGTTAATAGTATCTCACGACACTTCCCGATGGCTAATGTTCTAGTGATTGCCATCCTTCCGGAGCCTTACGAGACTTGGGCAGAGTCGAACATGCCCCAACTCAACAAGAAAGTCCATAATCTTTTCTCTCAGCGCTCCATTCGTTTCCACGGTCTCCTTACCCTCTCAGGTAGCCCGTCTCCTCGAGACAACCCTGTTGATGTACGCATGAAGATATACGAAATTGCAAGTCAAATGAGTGCCAATGGTTCACAGGTCACTGGTCGCCAGTACCCAGAGAATTACTATCATCTCCTGCCAGTTTTAGAGCGTGAGCATACTAACCTTAAGACCAGTGGTCAGCCAGGTATAATGGAAGAGGGAACCCTCTGGTCTCTGCTCTCATCGGCCATTGATCAAGATATGCCTGACAGCATGGAGCTACCTGTCATGATATCCTTCCTTAAGGAGAGCGGGTACTTGATGCATTTTGATGACCCGAACTGTCGTCTCAATCAATTCCATTTCCTACACCCAGAGTGGCTTGTGTTCACCGTTCATAAGCTCCTTCATCATTTAAATTACTATCATGCGAACCATCCCATCGTTACGCTCCATAAACTAGTCAGTCTCTTGAAACTGGGCGGGGAGAAAAGACTCACTACAGCTGTCATTCGACTCCTCATTCGTTTTCATATCGTGCTACCAATCTCAAACTCTGCCTACCTCATCCCGTCCCTCCTCCCTCACAATCCTCCTCCTCTGGCTATGATACAGGTTGGTTGCTATCGAAGACAATTCATTCCAAAGGGTCGTCCGTTACCTGAGGACTTTTGGTTCTATTTGATCAGTCACCTTCTCTTTCATTTGCCGAGACTGCTCAAACCGGATGATTCCACTCTCCTAAACCTATTGAAGGTCATGCAAGAAGATCCTGTCAGAAACCACCAGCCGAGAAAACCTCTTAATTTACACCTGGACATCGGGAAAGAGGAAACAAGTCTAATGTATTCTCCTACTGAAGATGAGAAAATACCAGGAGGGGAGCCTTCGTCTCATGTACCTGTGAAAGGGAGGGGTACTACAGCTAAGAAGCAAAGAAGCTTTAGCGATAGTGGGGACACTGAACTTCAAGTACATGCAACTAATGATGCTGGCACCATTGAAGACTCCACCGTTTCAACTGTCAGTAAAAGGATAAGCAGTGATCCAATCAGTATATGCCAGGGTATCATAGTCTGGCGTACTGGGATACAGTTGAAGACCGGTAGCGGAGTCCAACTTACCATTCACTCTCAGTCCAGTGACCTGGGTCTGGAGGAGACTGGAGTTGAGGTTTGTTGTACTGAAGATGAGGAAGGGATAGCTGCAATGGCCAAAGTCTGCTGGCTCATACAAAGAATATTTGAGCAAAGATATCCAGAGTTCTCTCCAAAGATACAGCCTTCGTCTCAAAACGGTCTGACACAGATAATACTCTGTCCTCAGTGCAGTAAATCCCCCTTAGGGGGTGCAACTAATTTTATTATTGAGACGTGTTTCGTGTCATTAAAAGAGCAAGAGTCCTTTACTCACAACTGTCATCATCACGATGACCCTATACCACTTAGGGAGCTGATACCAGATTATCTACTAGTTGATCTTCCTCCTTCACTTCAGCTCAATCAAGACTCATTCTCGTACCAGGAGGCTCGCCCTGTCTATCGTGATAACTCTACTATACTCTATGATGGGACTTTCAGTGGTAATCCCGCTACAGTCAAGAAGCACTTGTTCTCTGAGTCAAAGTCTTACTCTGTCCCTCTCTCTGCCATGAGACAAGAGCTTGAGATGCTAAGTCTTCTCTCTCACCCAAACATTATCAAAGCGTACGGCTACTGCTTCTCTCCTCCGAGTCTTGTCATTGAGAGGAGTCCATTGGGTACTCTACTTCAGAAACTGAGCGACAACGAGCAAAAGATCAGTCGTCTTGTCCGGTTTCACATTAGCTGTCAAGTAGCCTCGGCACTGGCTTATCTACACAAGCACAACGTTATATACAGGACACTCAAATCAGACTCCGTACTTACCTGGTCCCTGGAGTTTGAGGATGAGGTGAGTGTCAAATTGGCTCATTTTGATCGAGCTGCTTTCAGTACTCCAACTGGTATCCTCAGTAAAACTGACTTCTCATTTTATCCTGCCCCAGAGATGGTCAGATACGAGTTCTCCGAAGAGTACACTGAGAAGGTTGATATTTATTCATTTGGTATACTCCTTTATGAGCTTGTCGCTCGCTGGCAGCCGTTCACATCTGATAAAACGGCGATGGCTCACAAACCTAAACTGACTGGTCTCTCCACTTATGGCTTTGGCTCTCTCGTTAAACTCATGGAGGAGTGTTGGGAAGAGGACCCAACTCTACGTCCCTCTGCCCTCGATTTGCTTCACCTCCTCTCCGAGCCACAGTTCCAGTGTCACTTGAGTACCCAGACGCTAAGGGATTGTGTCTCAGTCCGTGGTTGCTGCTACGTCCCGTCGTTAAGCCAAGTATGGGCGTACGGTGAATACAATGTGAACATTGGTCGCGATACTGGAGAGGGTAGCGAGTTGCTTGTCGAGGGTACACAGGTATTTATATTAAATGCTACTAATCTGACTGTCCAGGGGAGCCTTGAGTTGAAAGAGAGGGCTAATGCGATCTGCACTGTGGATAGCAAGGTCTGGGTTGGGATGTTAGAGGCATGTATTCATGTCTATGACTCGACATCCTTCAATTTTACTGACAGAGTTTTTGTAAAAGACTCCGTAACGGACATTGCTACAAACGACAAGTATGCTTTTGTGGGCCTGGCAAATGGGACTCTCACGTATTACGATAAGCTAAAGTTCCCATCGGTTTCTGGTGATATTGAGATTGGGAGTAAAGCTCTCATTTCAATGCTTTCTGTTGGAGAGTGCTTGTGGGTTGTCTGTGGCAATGAGATTATCGTCCTTTGTGTCGACGACGACGACATAACAATTGCTAAGAGATTGAACGCTGCCTCTTCCAACCATCAGGTATATGCTCTCGTCCTCTCTGAGAGAAACTCTCTCGTTTGGTGTTTCATTAAAACCTCCCTCGTCCTTATTTGCTGGGACGCCTCCTCCTGTGCTCAAGCTGGCTCTATTGACTTGACTAATACGCTGACTGGGATATGCTCACAGGCTGGACTGGAGTCTAATAACCTCCGTCTCCTCTCTCTTGAATGCTGCCAGGACATCATTTGGGTCGGTGTGTCTGTAGGTATCATCGTTCTTTTAACTGCCACACCTACTCCGAGAGTAATCACTTGGTTCAGGGCGCACCGTAGCTCCCCTCGTTGCTTGATAACGGTCCCTGACGCGAGTGTTGATAATTTCCAGGTTGTTCTGAGCGGAGGTTTTGGGGAGCATTCGTACATAAGGTCGTCTGCTTCTCATGATAACGGCGTCATTATGTCCTGGCAGGGAATGAGCAGCGATGAGTTAGAGACGCTGGCTAGGAGGTGGAGGGAGAGGAAGGACAAAGAGGAGGCTGAAGATGAGAGCAGAGTGTGAATGAGTTGTTGTTCTATGCGTGTAGTATCTTTCTTATTATTATTATTGTTATTATTATTATTATTATTATTATTATTATTATTATTATTATTATTTTGTGCTATAATTATTATAATTGAATAATTATATCAAAAATCACTATTGATTTAATAATTATAATTGCTTTATTTTAAAAGATTAAGATTCTTTGAAGTAGGCGTGCCTGGCGTGGTAAATAAGCAGCAAGAAAGAAAGCAGTTTTACAGATTCATTTCCTCTACTCCTCCAGGATGAATGTAAGTTATCAGTAGCTTTAGTCATAGATGTAAGCATCTTTTCTCAATTATTAGGCAGCTACCATGACGCTCCCGCACAGTAAGTCCATGCATTCAATGGGCGGTTATTGTATTTTATTTATCTCTTAGCTAAAGATGGGACATTGGATTACAAAACCCTTGGCAATATGATATCAGCCTCGATTCTAGGAGAGGTTAGTCATTAGCAAGAGGCTAATCATTATATGAACATTATCTCAGGTGGTGTATGCTAATGCAGTGGACAGGGAACATTGCAGGGACCCAGCTGCTCTCATTAGTTCCCCTTCTAGTGACATGTGGCAGTAAGCTCACAAGCAACTTCTTGTTTCTTTGCTAAACTCAAAACTCTTTCAGTTTATTATTGTTCTCCGTGCCAAGTCTCAATATCCTATTGATACGTCCTTATTATCACTAATCTATGCTTTATACAACAGGTTCTATTACAAAGAGGATGGTGTAGTTATATTGAAAAAGAGGATACCACACACAAAGATGTGCTGGTGAGTGCTTGGTACCTAATTGAGATTTGGAAATGTTATTCTTTTGTTGCTTTTGTTTGCTCTGCAGCAAAAAAGGTGTACATATACATGTATATCTGCTAACGAGTCCCTTGTTTATCATTATTGATGCATAATGATTCCATAGTACATATATTATAGTACATTAACTCAGTTATCATAATTGACCTTTTAATATTTTGATTGTATAGTATGATAGTGCCCATTATACTTGTAATGCAAACCAGTCTGACTTGTTTTTCAACTAAAAGAGTGACCTTTGCAGTTGCAGCTTCATAATGATTAAGTGTTCCTATAAAAAAAATCATCATCATCATAAATTTGTGTATTTTTTCTAGTTTTATGGGCAGAGGAGTTATTGATGCACCAATGGAGAATGTGGTTAGCTACCTCCAAAAGTTTCAGAATAGATTAGAATATGATGAGACATTACTGGTACATGACCCCTAATACATCAACTCTATTAACTACTTCTCTCTATAGCAACTTGAGGTCTGTCAACAGTTCTCAGACAACGACTGGCTATGTAAGAGAAGCTTCAATGTTCATCTTTTATTAATGTTCTCAATAAATGCACTTTGTAGTGTACATGGCACACAAAGCCAAGCAATGTTTCTTTACAAAGCATCGTGATTTTCTGTACTACTGCAGGACTTCATTTGTGGTATGAGAGATGAGGGGGAGGGTGAGAGAGAAAGAAAGGTTGATTGTGGCCAGCATGTAAACAAGCACATGAGCGTTAGTGTGATTGAGTAATGAAATTCATAGATTCCTATAAACAGTTATAGTGTGACCTTTAGCTTAAAAAGCAATAAATTTTTTTGATTCATTAATAGGAGGGCAAGTATGTGCAAAGTGTCTTATCAGTTGAAGATAAGGATTATCCTCATCGGCCTCCATACATCAGAGGAGAGGTAAGATGGATAAGGAGCTATTAGTATACTAAATTTGTAATCAGAATCATCTCTTCAAGGGCAGTGTTTATGCTTTTTTTTAATGGCTATAACTTTAAAAATTGAAGTCAGAATCAACTCAAACTTTCTATGTAGCATTAGTATGTATATATGTCTCAGAAAATGTAATGAAAATTGGGGGTAATTTTGGAGCCATTTTTTGGAAAAAAACCAAGGGCTATATTATAGTACAGGGTATTTTTTCAAAATTTGAAGATTTAAAAAAATGGTCATAACTTGAAAAATTGAAGTCGGAATCGGCTCAAGCTTTCTACATAGTATAACTACATCAATATGTATCAGAAAATGTAATAAAAATTGGGGGTGATTTTGGAGCCATTTTTTGGAAAAAACCATGGGCTATAGTATAGGGTATTTTTTCAAAATTTGAAGATTTAAAAAAATAGTCATAACTTGAAAAATTGAAGTTGGAATCAGCTCAAACTTCCTAAGTAGCATAAGTAAATCAATATGTATCAGAAAATATAATAAAAATTGAGGATGATTTTGGACCCATTTTTCGGAAAACCATGGGCTATAATAGTACAGGATATTTTTCCAAAATTTGACATCTTTAAAAATGATCAGCAACTCATTTCCTGTTTTATAATTTATTATTATTATTATTAATTATCAGCAGCCCACTTCCTGTTGATAATTAATTTTTAATAAAAGTTAATTAGCAGCAACTCATTTCCTGTTTCATAATTCATTTTTAATAAAAGTTAATTAGCAGCAACTCATTTCCTGTTTCATAATTCATTTTTAATAAAAATTAATTAGCAACAACTCATTTCCTGTTTCATAATTCATTTTTAATAAAAATTAATTAGCAGCAACTCATTTCCTGTTTCATAATTCATTTTTAATAAAAATTAATTAGCAGCAACTCATTTCCTGTTTCATAATTCATTTTTAATAAAAATTAATTAGCAGCAACTCATTTCCTGTTTCATAATTCATTTTTAATAAAAATTAATTAGCAGCAACTCATTTCCTGTTTCATAATTCATTTTTAATAAAAATTAATTAGCAACAACTCATTTCCTGTTTCATAATTCATTTTTAATAAAAATTAATTAGCAGCAATTCATTTCCTGTTTCATAATTCATTTTTAATAAAAATTAATTAGCAGCAACTCATTTCCTGTTTCATAATTCATTTTTAATTAGCAACAACTCATTTCCTGTTTCATAATTCATTTTTAATAAAAATTAATTAGCAGCAATTCATTTCCTGTTTCATAATTCATTTTTAATAAAAATTAATTAGCAGCAACTCATTTCCTGTTTTATAATTCATTTTTAATTAGCAGCAACTCATTTCCTGTTTCATAATTCATTTTTAATAAAAATTAATTAGCAGCAACTCATTTCCTGTTTCATAATTCATTTTTAATAAAAATTAATTAGCAACAACTCATTTCCTGTTTCATAATTCATTTTTAATAAAAATTAATTAGCAGCAATTCATTTCCTGTTTTATAATTCATTTTTAATTAGCAGCAACTCATTTCCTGTTTCATAATTCATTTTTAATTAGCAACAACTCATTTCCTGTTTCATAATTCATTTTTAATAAAAATTAATTAGCAGCAATTCATTTCCTGTTTCATAATTCATTTTTAATAAAAATTAATTAGCAGCAACTCATTTCCTGTTTTATAATTCATTTTTAATTAGCAGCAACTCATTTCCTGTTTCATAATTCATTTTTAATAAAAATTAATTAGCAGCAACTCATTTCCTGTTTCATAATTCATTTTTAATAAAAATTAATTAGCAGCAATTCATTTCCTGTTTCATAATTCATTTTTAATAAAAATTAATTAGCAGTAGCTCACTTCCTATTTCATAAATTTAAAAAAATGCGAAATCCATAAAATTTTTGGGCCACAAAAATTTTCCGCTATACGGTAATGTGAATTAAAATAATCGTTATCTGAGATTTTAAGTGGATTATATTTGACTCTCTCATCCTCTGCAGATAAAACAAGGCACGGGTTGGGTGGTAGAAAAATACAATGACAGTGAATGCTCTTCATTAGTCTCATATGTTGCACATGTAAGTTTATGACACTCTTCCATTATATTAAATAATCTTTATAATTTTCAGTTGGATTTAAAAGAGTTACCTCCCGTCATTGCTAATCGTGTCCTCCGTCGTCAGCCAATGGCAATAAAGTACATAAGGGAGAGAGTCATGAAACCAAAAGTACCACTTAACTTTGGTGCTGCTTTCATTGACAGCTCACAGCTTCAATTTTCTGAAGAAGATCAAAAATTCGAGGAATACACATCAATGAACGAATTCATAGAAAACATCGATATCGTAGACACCAAAAAGAAAGAATCAACAAATAAACGTAAAGTGAAAATAAATATCGAAGGGGACAAGAGTTCAGAGGAGGTCATTAGACCAAGGTGTTATACGCACTCACTTCCAGATATGAATGATCAAGAGGTTAATGGCTCTCCTTCCTGTGCTTCTTCTTATTACTCAACTCGTGCTAGCTCAGTCGAAGTTACAGTTGCAATTATTGAGCCTAAAATTACCCACATCAATGGCACTACTGATGATAGCAAAGAAGAAACTACTAGCAGTGTTGCTGCAGAGAATGGAGTGATTAACGAGGAGATGAGTATCAAAGCAAAGCAAGCTAATAGTGTGGCTCAAGAATTCCCTAGTTACAATCAATGGTCAGGCAATGGAGGAGAAGTGCCAATAGACTCTCCAAATGATGGACATAATTTGACTACTACCTAATTAGAATTTAACTATCACACGCACATTAGCATACAAAAACTGGTAGGCATACGTGTTTTTACAAACTTTTTGTATTATGTTTCATTATTTTTGTGTAATCATTATTATTATTATTTTGTCGTTTTGTCTTTATCATAAATGGACTATTATAGTGTGACCAACAATGTATTCGACCTTTTCAATCTTCATCATGATCCGATTCAAAATCATCTGTATAATTATATGAGTCTTCATCAATTTCTTCCATTATGCTATTAGAAGATACAGAAACACTCCCCGTAGCTCTGACATTGCTATCAGCATCAGGCAATATTTGTTCCCCTTTCTCTTCTTGTGAGCTCTCTTCTTTTGTCTTCTCTTTCTGCTCTTCTGCTTTTTCATCACTCCCCTCTTCTTCCTTCTCCTCATCATCATCATCATCTCCCTGCTCAGTGCTCATCTGCCCCAGACTCTGCAGTGATGTTGCTAGGTATATTCTTTGACCAATATTGCTCCCAGCACTTAAAAATGACTTGACCTTGCTCACCTCTCCTTCAGCCCGAGCAATGGGCAAGGACTCAGTGCTCTTACTCAAAACAGAAATATCCAGTTTCCCTTTAGATTGTAAGAGTATTGAAGAGGAAGAAGATGATGATGATGAAGGTGAAATATTGATTGCTGGTGCAGGATAGGCAAAAGGTTCAACAAGAGTTGGAATGTCATTGTGAGATGCTGAGTGATGAGGTGATGGAGGAAGCTCCGGTGAGAGTGGGTGTGAGGATGGACTTGATGATTTTAAACTTAAATTGCTATCATCTTTGTTAATAGTAGAGCCATTTCTTCTTGTATGATCTCTCATTGAAGATGCATTCAATGTCAATGGTGATGGAATGGTAGATGGAACTCTCTCCATTGGCTTCTTTAAGGAGGACACTACTTGTGATTTCTTCTTTCTTTCACTATGCTTTTTGCTAATGGTGTCATGTTTTATGTAATAACCATCTTTCTCCCCTCCTGATTTCTTTCTCCTCCTTTCTTTGGTTTTCTTTTTCTCCTCACTAGAAACTTGTGACACTGCCTCAGTTTGTACTCCTTTGCTCAATGTCTCTTTAGCTCCTTCTCTTCTTGGTAGCATTTGTCTTAAGCACATCACTTCATCACAGAGTGCAGATAAGACTGGAAATGGTCTATCCTCTAATAAAAGTGGAGTAGAAGGAGAATTAGAAGATGCACATGTAGTTTCAGTATTTCTAATAGGATTGTCTTGCTTTAAAGGAGGTGATCTTAATCCAATGTTCCTCCAAGGAAAACTGTTGGGGTTTCCTTCCATAAGAGCAGCCCAATGCAACGACTCATCTCTGGGATGAAACGATGGACTTATATGTCTTATTTCCTTGTCTCCTTCTTTCTTTTTCCTTCCCTTTTCATTATTCTCTTCTCTAGATCTTCTTTCTAATAATCTACTCCTCTCTGGTATTTCTTCCAAATCAATGGAGCTCAGTGAAGTGTTGCTGATGCTTCGTGTAGCAGTGAATTGAAGAGGAGGAGGAAACCATGTGTTAGGCAGGTAATACTTCACACTAACGGCAGGTAGTTTCTGTCCAGTAACTGAATCAATATCAGCATTAACTTTAGAATCAATATCAGCATTAACTTTAGAATCAATATCAGCATTAACTTTAGAATCAATATCAGCATTAGCTTTAGAATCAATATCAGTATCTATTTCAGGAATAGATTTAATATTAGTGACTTTGTCATCATGTGCTGACCCATTGTTATTCAGGGTATCGCGACCTAGAGCTGCTACAGGTGGCGAGGATTGTCCCGTGACTAATAATTTTATTTTAATTACAACATGTCCTAGCACATCATTTGAGCCATCCTTCAATAAATGTAATAAGTAAGTCTCATTAATCAACGCGTGATCATTGGACCACTGTACATTTGGCATTAAATGCTGCATCCATTTTTTGCTATCGTTCACTGCCCCACTGGCCAGTATAATGTCACCTGATGTGTCACGTGACTGCATGAGACACAGGCTGAGAGAAAAAGGTGTGGTATCTAAGAGTTTGATAAAGGAGGAACGAATCATTGAGAACTTGCATGCCTTTCCTTTTGACGAGGCTATTTGTGGCCTGAAACAACAAAACATAATATTAAACAAGACTAAAATATGTGACTTTACTTTCTTTTCAAGAAATCAATACTCAGTTGAATAAATACTGGAGGAAAGTCCAATAGTCGAACCCCCAGAGATAATAAAGAAGTATCTTCACTTGCTACTCCTGATTCTAGGTGGTAGTCCAATTCTTTCACGAAGAAGCGAAATTCAAAATTACAAACATCCTCCTCTGTCTTGACAGCCATTTTTGATGTGGCGGGAAAATATTCAAATAAAGTAGGCGGGGTCAAAGCGTGGGCGTACGTACTACTGCAGCTACACCCACGCACTATTTCTTGCTCTTATAAAAAATGAATAATAATACATAACATTAAAAAAAACACATTCTCTATGCACCAATCGCATCATTTAAATATGATCTAAGTGTACAAGAAAGTCTGTATGCTGTGTGGCAATGCTTGAACTTTGAGTGCTTGAACAGATTGTTCTCCTGCAGCTCCAGCAGTAGCCACATCAGCTAGTTTAAACTCTACACTCTCATCCCCAGTATTCATCACAATCACTACAATGCTTTTTTCAGGCGTTAGGAAAGCTACACATTCCAGACTACTGCTCCCAGTCACACGACTATTGATCCTCACCGAGCCACGAGGAACATACTTACTGCAGAAAAAGAAAGTAAAAAAACATGCAAAAAATACATCAACTGTATGCAATGGAAGCTTCACCTTATGTGTCCTACATAATAATAAAACACTTGAGGATAGAGGACCTGTGTCTCAAGGTCAGCCAATATCATGGCAGCACTCCCACATTTAATCAATCCTTCACATTCTTGAGGTCCAGCATGATTAGGGCCTCCATATCTGTCCAATAGGAGGTTCCAGTCAATGAAACCAACCACCCAGTTATTGAAATCCCCAATCATATCGTGTGCATAATGCTCTCCATGTTCCCACTTTGGGTTTTCAGGATTTTTCTCACGAGCCACAGTAGCTTCAGTTGCCAGTATTGGTTTACCAGGTTGAAGGGAATGAGCCGACTGAAGGTTTTCAAAGTCGTCTCCGCTATACCAGTGTACCGCTGTCCCCCAGGCATAAGACGAGGCCTCAGGATCAGAGAATATAGTCTCCACCCATTTGACTACGTGGTTCTTGTTATGATCATATATTAAGAGCTTTACGTCCGGGTGAGAGGACCTGAGAGACGGTCCTAGATACTCTTTAATGAAGTCTCTCTGAGTCTCAGGGTCAAAGTGCATGCCTTCATATTCCACTGGGCATGCTCCTGGCTCATTCTGAACTGTAACTCCCCACACTCTCACTCCTTCCCCTCCATAGGCTTCGATGAACTTTACAAAATATTCTGCCCACGTCTTCTTGTACTTGTCCTTGAGCCTACACTCCAGACAGGAGAGTGGACAGTACGGCAGGTCTAATACTTTCATCCAAGCAGGAGGGCTCCAAGGAGACGCTAAAATATATAGCGAGTCATTGCTCCATTTATTGAGCGTAGCATTAGCCTCTCGAATGAACGGTATGATATAACCTTTATCGTGTTCAATCGTAAAGTGGGTAAGGTTCTCGTCGTCTCTCACCTCATCGTACGTGTAGTGATTGTACGAGAAGTCGCATGATCCAATCGGGAGGCGTCCCATGTTGTATCGGAGACCATCCTCTGAGAAATACATGTTCAAGATGGCTGCCTGGTGGGTGGAGTTCAGTTTTGAGAAGACGTAAGAGGCAGAGTCGGTGAAAGCACCACCAAAACCAACAATTGTCTGATACATGAGTGACCTAAACATTAGCAGAGACAGTTGTAAACTAATGATACTACTATAATAATTATTAAAACTATAAATTAATTATTTTGAAAATGTCCTGCAAGCACCTGTTAATAGTAACTCCAACAGTGAAGTTAAAATCAGAAGAAAAGGTCAGATTAGGTGTTTGAACTGTCAACCTATCACTAGTGTCCTTGGCAGTTCTAATCCACTTCACATCACCAGTAGAGCTGCTAGCACTGCTGGCTGGACAGCAAAACAGGTGAAGGACAAAGACAAAACAGAGAAGAGAGGATGCCATGTTAGTAGAGCACTTTGTGCTAAACGTGTGGGCGTTATGCTACTCATCAGCTCAGTCAGGAGTCCATAATGTTGGGTTCAGTCTATTTTTATAGCTAAACTAATATTTCAAAACTGCAAACTAGTGCTTGGCAAGATGAGAATAAAAACAAAAATAGACAAACAAGAAACAACTATACATGTACAACTGGCTAATGAATTGTCAGTGGCTACCTAAATTATCCTCTAAGCAATACTACACTAAAACAAGAACTAGTAGGAGAAAGTTGAGGCTAAGATTAGGTGTCCTTTGGAACAGGTACACGAGTTGACTTCCATATGTCATCACAATATTCCATTATCGTCCTGTCACTTGAAAACTTACCAACGGCAGCAATGTTTTTAATGCACATTGATAACCATTGGCGGCGATTCTAAATAAAAATAATTGATACTGTGATAAATTAAGAGTATTCTTACCAAAAATGCTTGGGACACTTTTTCCTGACACTCAATATACGATTCATAATCTTTCATGAGGCAATACCTACATACAACACAATACATATAATCATGTGAGAGTCACATGATTACATGCGTATCATGGGAGAGGAGATGATCAACGATGCTGTGAAACAAAGATGGCTGATTTGGAGAATAGTAACCGTTCCTTATTTGGTCAATGGCCAATTTCAATTCCTCGTTAGCTTCTTAATATTGTCTTGGATTGTATGTGCTTTATAAGAGAATGATAATAAACACTTTATAAAACAGTTCCAGTACCCAGATGACTTTAGTTCCTGAACTTCCTTCACATTCATGCCAAAAATGAATATGTTCTCCGGGCCCATTTCTTCCCTCATCTCAACATTAGCTCCATCTAATGTATCTGTCTTGTACATGTATATATATGCATAGTGTCTCCTTCCTTTCCATCTCTTTTCTCTTACATTGATGTCTTCAGTAGTTCTGAGTATATGGCAGCTACTCCATTAACGCTGTGTGATCCAATGATAGCAAGGTAGGCCATGTTGATCCTCTTCTCTGGTTCCTCCTCAAGAATAGATAAACTTCTCAGCCTGTCTACGTCACTAGGCCAGTGGAGACTTATAGCCTATACATCAATCAATGAGTACGACTGAAGTCTGAAGCAACTTAGCAAGCTAAAGGTGGGCATCGACTATGTGGCAACTTTGTTGCCAGTACCTCTGATGTGGCCGTGCAGCACGTTGCACTCCACTTCATGCAACATGTTG